TTAACGTCAAGAAATCTATGGCATTCTTATACACCAATGATGAACTCACAGGAAGAGAAACTAAAAAAACAATCCCATTTACCACCGCAGCAAAAAAATTAAGATACCTAGGAATAAACTTAACCAAAGAAATAAAGGACCTATTCGCAGAAAACTACAGGTCATTGAAAAAAGAAAAATAGAGGAAGATATAAAAAAGTGGAAGCACATACCTTGTTCATGGATTGGAAGAATCAACATTATTAAAATGTCCATAATACCCAAAGTAATCTATAGATTCAATGCAATCCCCATCAAAATACCAACAACATACTTCCCAGAACTAGAACAAATAATTCAAAGTTCAAATGGAACCAAAAAAGACCTCGAATAGCCACAGCAATCTTGAAAAAGAACAACAAAGTAGGAGGGATCACATTACCAGATATCAGGTTATACTACAAAGCCACTGTAATCAAAACAGCCTGGCACTGGCACAAGAACAGGCATATAGACCAGTGGAACAGAACAGAGAACCCGGAAATGGATCCAACACAATATGCTCAATTAATATTTGACAAAGGTGGCAAGAGCATACGGTGGAGTAAAGACAGCCTCTTTAATAAATGGTGTTGGAAAAATTGGACAGCTACATGCAAAAAAATGAAACTAGACCATCAACTTACACCATACACAAGAATAAACTCAAAATGGATAAAAGACTTAAATGTGACTCATGAATCCATAAAAAACCTAGAAGAGACTGTAGGCAACAATATTTCAGACATCATACGCAGCAGCATTTTCACTGATACATCACCTAAGGCAACAGAAACAAAGGAGAAACTTCCGGTCAAGATGGCGGCGTAGGTAAACGCGGTATCCCATACTCCCACAACCACATCAAAGTTACAACTAAACTACAGAACAACCGTCATTCAAAACCGCCTGAAATCATCCTGAGTGGAAGTCCTACAGCTACGGAATTAAAGCAGCAGCCACATCGAGACTGGTAGGAGGGGCAAAGGCGCGAGGGGTGGACGGGGTGGTGGCACACACACGTGTGGAGGATAAAAATCAGGAGGATACCTTGGCTAGGAAGGTCCTTCCTGAGGACTGGGGGGTCCCCGTCTCACACCAGGTGCCCTGCTCAGGGTTCCAGTGCCAGAGAGAGAAGTCCCCATAATTCTGGCAGGAAAAACCAGCAGGAACTGAGGCTCAGGGAAGCTGACACGGCTGGAGCCCCAGGCAGCTCCTTAAAGGGCCAGCACACAGACTTATCGGACTCTCTCCCTCTAAGCTTGGAGGGGAGGCAGCTCAAGGGGCACCAGAGACATACAGGGAAGAACTGAGCTGTTTGGCACTGGAGCGAGGGCTGGATAGGGGGCTTTCTCTGGGACAAACGTGCTGTCAGAGGCCTTTGATCCTTTGGTGAGCCCTTCCCTGGGGCGGCAGACAGTTGCCATACCTGGGACTCCAGCAACGTGGCTCACACTGGTAGCCCCGCCCTGGTGACTCCCTGAGGCCCTGCCCCACCCAACTTTCAGGCCCACCCAAGGTGTTGCCACGTGCTTAACCATAGGATTGGCCTGTCTTGGATCCTGCTTCGGGTTTTTCCTAAATTCTTTCAAACGAGCAGCATCTGGTCTCAGCTAGCCCCATACTTCTTGTTAAGTAATACACAGAAACAAACACAGGGAGGCAGCCAAAATGAGGAGGCAAAGAAATAAGTCTCAAATGAAAGAACAGAACAAAACTCCAAGAAAAGAACTAAGTGAAATGGAGATAAGTAACCTAACAGATGCTGAGTTCAAAATACTGCTTATAAGGATGCTCAGTGAACTCAGTGAGGGTCTCAAGAGCATAAAAAAGGACCAGTCAGAAATGATCGATGCACAGTTAGAAACGAAGGAGGCTTTAACTGAAATAAAGAATAATTTACACAGATTCAATAGTAGAGTACGTAAATCCAAGAAGCAAACCATTGATTTGGAATATAAGGAAGCAAAAAACGCCCAATCAGAACAGCAAAAAGAAAAAGGAATCCAAAAAAATGAGGACAGTGTAAGGAGCTTCTGGGACAACTTCAAGCGTGCCAACATTCACATCTTGGGGGTGCCGGAAGGAGAAGAGAGAGAACAAGAAATTGAAAACCTGTTTGAAACAATAATGGCAGAAATCTTTCCTAACTTGGTGAAGGAAAGAGACATACAAGTTCAGGAAGCACAGAGAGTCCCAAACAAGATGAACCCCACGAGGCCCACACCAAGACACATCATCATCAAAATGCAAAAGGTTCAAGACAAAGAGAGAATCTTTTTTTTTTTTTTTTTTTTTTTTATCCTCACCCGAGGATATTTTTCCATTTTTTGTACAGATAGAGTGGGAGGGAGAGAGAGGAAGGGAGACAGAGAGAGAAACATCGATGTGAAGGGACACATCGAGTGGCTGGCACCCGCACGACCAACCAGGGCCGGGGACAAACTGCAACCGAAGTACGTGCCCTTAGCGGGAACCGAACCCGGGTCTCTCTGGACCGCAGGCTAACGCTCTAACCGCTGAGCCAAACTGGCCAGGGCAAAGAGAGAATCTTAAAAGCAGCAAGAGAAAGGCAGCTAGTTACCTACAAGGGAGTTCCCATTAGGCTGTCAGCTGATTTCTCAAAAGAAACTTTGCAGGCCAGAAGGGAGTGGCAAGAAATATTCAGAGTGATGAAAACCAAGAACCTACAACCAAGATTACTCTTTCCTGCAAAGCTGTCATTTAGAATCGATGGCCATATTAAGACTTTCCCAGACAAGAACAAGTTAAAGGAGTTCATCACCACCAAACCGTTATTATATGAAATGATGAAGGGTCTTTTTGAAAAAAAAAGATAAAATATATGAACAAACAAAATGGCAATGAATACATATCTATCAACAATGGAATCTACAAACAAAATGAACAGGTAGAACTGAAACATTCTCATAGATAGAGAGAACATTTTGTTGGTTGCCAGATGGGAGGGGGATTGGGGGAATGGGTGAAAAAGGTGAAGGGATTAAGAAGTACACATTCATTGCTAGACTGACAAACTTCAAAGGGAAAGGGGTTGGGGGGTGGGAAGAAATAAACCAAAGAACGTATATGCATAACCAATGGACACAGACAATAGTGTGGGAAAAGGCGGGAGGGGGGCGGGAGTGGGGAGGAGGGGGTCAATCGGGGAAAAATGAGGAACATCTGTAATATATTCTACATTCAACAATAAAGATTTTTTTAAAAAGTATTTAAACTTAAAAAAAAAAGAAAGAAACAAAGGAGAAAATGAACACATGGGACTACATCAAACTCAAAAGCTTCTGCACAGCAAAAGATACAATCATCAAAATGGAAAGGCAACCCACTGTATGGGAGAGCATAATTGCCAATGATATATCAGATAAGGGGTTAATTTCCAATATATAGAGAGTGCTCATACAACTCAACCGAAGGAACACAAAGAACTCAATTAAAAAATGGGCAGAGGAACTGAATAGACACCTCTCCAAACAGGACATACAAATGGCTAAGAGACATATGAAGACGTGCTCAACCTCACTAATCATCAGAGAGATGCAAATTAAAACAACAATGAGGTATCACCTCACACCTGTCAGAATGGCTGCCATCAACAAATCATCAAACAACAAGTGTTGGCGAGGGTGTGGAGAAAAGGGGACTCTAGTGCACTGCTGGTAGGAATGCAGACTGGTGCAGCCACTGTGGAAAACAATATGGTGTCACCTCAGAAAATTAAAAATTGAACTTCCATTTGACCCAGTGATCCCACTTCTAGGAATATACCCTAAGAAGCCTGAAACACCAATCAGTAAGAATATATGTATCCTCATGTTGGTAACAGCACTATTTACAATAGCTAAGATCTGGAAACAGCCCAAATGTCCATCAATAGACGAATGGATAAAAAAGCTGTGGTACATATACACAATGGAGCACTATGCAGATGTAAGAAAGAAAGATCTCTTATCCTTTGAGACGACATGGAGGGACCTGGAGAGTATTCTCCTAAGCGAAACAAGCCAAGCAGTGAAAGACAAGTATCACATGATCTCACTTCTTTGTTGAATATAATGAACTTAACAGTCTGAGGAATGGGGTAGTCCCAAAGACACAGAGGTGGGGTACAGACTGACATTTCCCAGAAGAGGGGGTGGTGAGGGAGAGATAAATCACAGAACTCATATGCATGTATGTATGAGCAATGGACATGAACAACAAAGGTGGGGACAGGGTGGGGCGGGTGGGGGAGGGAAAAATCAGTGGGGGGAAAAGAGAAACTTCTGTAACCTAAATAAATTATTAACTGAAAAATAATAATAATAAAATAAAATAAAAAGAAAGAAAGAAAAGAAATGATATGGAGGGACCTGGAGAGTGTTATGTTAAGCGAAATAAGCCAGTCAGAGAAAGACAAATACCATATGATCTCACTTATTTCTGGAACATAACAAATTAGGCTGTCGATCAAAAGAGACCCAGAATCATGGAAGTAGGGAACAGACTGACAACCCTCAGAGGGATGGGGGTTGGGCGGGGAGAGAAGAGATAAACCAAAGAACTTACATGGGCATATGCACAACCAGTCCACATGGCTGGGGAACGCAGGAGAGGGTTGGGAATAGGAAGGAGGGGGTCAATGGGAGGGCCATCTGTAAACTGTCAACAATTAAAAAAAAGGGCTATTACTGCATCTAGAGGCAGAGGTAGAGGTGGGGGAAGATACTTTTTTTTTTTTTTTTCGGTAGGAGGAATTAGTTTTGAGGGAGGTCTGGATACCAAGTCATAAGGTTAAACAAAAAACCTGCTCCAGCCTGGGCGGGATGTGTAAGGAGGATTTTGATGAAGAGGGAAAGCCCACCAGTCTCCAAAGAGACGTAGCTCCCAGATCAGGGCCAGAGAAAATTATACTTGAGAAACGGAAATTTCGCTCCTTCCAGAGACCTGCCCACCCCCCGCGCCAGTTCCCCACTACTCACCCAGCACCAGAACCGTCTGGCCACACAAACAGTGGTAGACAAGGAGGGGCTTCTCCCTGGCGTCATATTCCTCCCGGTCCCGGGTGTCAGAGCAGACAGCCAACTGAGACACAACTTTAGACACAGTTCACTGGAGAAACCCACAAACTCAACGCCAAAAATAAGAGTCGCCCAGAAATGACGTCAGAGGCGCACGTTGAGCCTTTCTCCCCCTAATGCTAATCACATGTCAGTAGTAGTCATATGAACTTCCGGGCTGTCTCATTAGGCTGAAATGCTCGGGGGACCATCCCCAGCCTCCAAGAAACTTCTTTGCCTTGCCTGTTAGCTGAGATGCTTTACTTTGAACACCCTTAATATTATTTAAATTATTTATTTATATCTCTATACATGTATGCAATGTATATACATATATTAAAACAGATAAAACAAAGGACTATATTTACGCAATATGCATACTACAGATTTTAGGTGTGCCTCTATGATTTTAATGGCTATAGTCAGGATGAGTACCAAATGAAATAGAAACATGTTTTTTAAAGCTGAGATATAATTCATGTAACATAAAATCCACCCTTTAAAAATGTATAATTCAGTGGGGTTTTTTTTTGTTTTTTTTTTTAGTATATTCACAAAGTTGCACAACCATCACCACTATCTAATTTCAGAACATTTTCATCATCCCAAAAAGACATCCTATATGGTTAGCAGTCACTCCTCACTTCTTTCCCAGCCCTTGGCAACTCCTAATTTGCTTTCTGTCTCTATTGATTGCCTCTTCTGGACATTTCATATGAATGAAATAATACATTATGTGGTTGTTGGTGTCTAGCTTCTTTCACTTAACATAATGTTTTCAAGGTCCATCTATGTTGTAGTGTGAATCAGTAAAAAGTAACTTTATTTCTTTTTATAGCTGAATAATATTTTTTTGTATGGATATACCACATTTTGTTTATTCATTCATCAATTGATGGACACTTGAGTTGTTTCTACTTTTCGGATATAATGATTAGTGCTACTATGAACACTGGTGTACACATTTTTTGTGAGGACACATATTTTTAGTACTCTAAAAAAGTGTGTATAATTAGGAGCGAAATTGCTGGATCATATAGTAACTTGATGTTTAACCTTCTATAATTTATAAATTATATAAATAAAGAATTTAAATAATGTTAAGGGTGTCCCAAGTAAAGCAATATTTTCCAAAGTGACTGTACCATTCCCATCAGGAATCCAAGTGAGGGAGGGACTTCTGATATCTTCACCTTCTCACCAATGACTATTTTTGTCTGTCTTTGATCTTTGGCTATTCTGGTAGGTGTGAAGTGTATCTCACTGTGTTTTTTAATTTTCCTTTCCCTGATGGCTAATGATGTTGAGTACCTTTTTACATGTATTGGTCATTTATGTATCTTCTTTGGAGAAATGTCTATTCAAATCCTTTGTCCATTTTTAATTGAGTTATTTGTAATTTTATTGTTGAATTGTATGAGTTATTATATATTTTGGATACTAGACCCTAATCATATAAATAATTTGCAAATAGAGGCATCTTCATGATCCTGTTTGCTACAGGTATAAGGGAACATCTTCTACCCTTTCTTCCCCAACCCAGAAACTCTCCCAGAATGCTTTTTGTGGAGGACAGGATCCTGGAGCCATCAGAATAAGGACATTGAAACAGTTTACATTGAATAACTTCAATAATCCAAGTGATGACACCAATATAGTGGATTTTTAATAGATAACTTACTGAAGATAGCAGGAGTTTATGACTAGAAAATTGGCAGGTTGGCTGGTAGAAGTGTAGTGTTCAAGATACACAAGATGTAAACCCATGACAATTTAAAGTGATCTGTTGGCCCTCAAACAAAGGTGAGCTAAATGAAGTACAAAATAAATATCAATGCAAGTCTTAAAGAATCACAGTGTTGCTCCTAGGTCTTAGTCCAATGTCATCCCTATGATTCTATGTTATTCAGTATTCATTGATCTTCTACTGTGTGTCAGGCACTGTGCTATATACCAGTTGTATAGTGATCAATTTTAAATAGTTTCACCCCCTCATGTGGCTTAGTCTAGTGCAGGGGTGGGTAAATGTTTTCTGTAAATGCCTAGAGAATAAATGTTTTAGGCTTTGAGGGACAAGAGGTAAAATCAAGAACACCGTGTAGGGCCCAGCTAGAGTGGCTCAGTTGGTTGAGCATCATCCCATGAACCGACAGGTCACCAGTTCAATTCCTGGTCAGGGCACATGCCCAGGTTGTGGGCTTCCAGGAGACAGCCAATCGATGTTTCTCTCCCTCTCCCAAATCAATTTAAAACACATATTTTTAAAAAAGAACATCATTTAAGTACTTGTAAAACAGGAGAGAGAACAAATTTCCGCAAATGAAACTCAAAATATAATAATCAAGTATAAATTTTTGTAATACAAGTCTACTAATGAGCAGAATGACATTCTTTGATGGAGGGGGATAACGTTTCACTTAATTAGAGTTCAAAGTGAGTGTTCCCTGCCCTGGCTTGTGTGGATGAGTGATTAGACTGAAGGGTCGTGGCTTTGATAGGAAAAAATATCCTTGGGTGAGAATTAAAAAGCAAAGTGAGTGTTCCCTATCATCAAAATCAGCTGCAATTTCAATACACTTTTAAAGGTTTTTAAATTGTTTCATATAGCATCAACTTGACTTTTTTAAGAACCTCATCATTACTTTGTAATGAAAGTTTGCAACTTGATTTTTTCAGAAAAATCAATAAATTGCACACACCTATTAATAAAGATCTTAAATAATTTTTAAATATCAGTTGCAAATAGTCATGTTAATGTTTATCTGTAATTAGATTTTGTGTATTTCACTTTTGATAAAAATTAAACAAAGATAAATACTGCCAAATACTGATATCCATTCATAAGCAACTGATTTTAATTGAGAATATTCATCTCTTAGAAAGCATTTAGAGAATTCAATTCGATTTTTCACTTAGTATTTTCCTTTTAGCATGTCATTATATTACAATGTAATCACTTCCGATTGAAATTTAAGTGGAAGCTCCTCAAATGCACAAATTAATTTTGAAATATAAAAATGTCCTTTGCACTTTACATAAAGGTTCAAAAAATACCACTAACTATAATTTGAGATCAGAAAATATATCCACTGCAAATTTGTGTGGGAATGCAAAACTTGATTTTTGTTTTAACTTTTTACAGCACAGGATGTGATTAAAATAACTTGACATTACTTTTGTCAAACAATGTTAGTTGTCATTGAAATGAATTTACTACAGTATAGTTTTTACATATAAAATAAAATTGCCTTGTAATTTTGGGTTAAATTAATTAATAACATTATCAAGTCTAGAGTAAAAGCTAATTTCAAAAACCATTCAGTGTTCAATAGTAGTGGCTGGGGTGAATTTTCTCATTCAGAAAACTTTCAATCTCAGCCCTGAACTTTAAAATAAATAACTAGCCCAGCCAGTATGGCTCAGTGGTTGAACATCGACCCATGTACCAAGAGGTCACCAGTTCAATTCCTGGTCAGGTCACATGCCCAGGCTGTGGGCCCAATCCCCAGTGGGGGGCATGCAGGAGGCGGCCAATGTTCTGTCTCATCGATGTTTCTATCTCTGTCTCCCTCTTCCTTCCTCTTTCTCTAACAATCAATAAAGAAAAAAAATTAAATAAATAAATAAAAAACAATGCTAAGCTAATACATTGATGTTAGTAGGCCAAGACAGAATATTCAGCTTCCATTTCTGACAAAAATTTATGAAACTGACGATGGTTCAGTCCATGTGAGCGGATGAAGTACATTGTTGACACTAATAGTTGAATAACACAAAAGAGATTCGAATATTTTCCTGTAAAGTACAGGCTGTTTAATAATGAAATGAATAACCATGGGATTTAAACAACTTACAATTTCTCAAGCTTTATTCATTTGTCCAACTAAGCCCTTTTCTGCTCTGTACATATTTGGAGCACACGTTAGCAGATTCTACTCCAGGTTGTACTGAACTAGAGTTTCCTTGACTTCTTTGGAAATATTCTCATTTGCAGTTGTTCAACACAGACTACCAATACAGGCCAATTCTTCCATCACTTTAAACTCAGCATTGACTCTTTTAGTAAACAACTGAACAGTAATAGTAACATTGATAAACTCATCAAGAAAGAGTCGAGGAAAACAACTTGAAATCATTTGCCCTGTTATTTATTTATTTATTTACATTGATTTGAGAGAGAAAGAGAGAGAGAAACATCAATTTGTTCCACTATGTATGCATTCATTGGTTGATCCTTACATGTGCCCTAACCAACGATCAAACCCACAACCTTGGTGTATCGTATCGAGATGAAGTTTTAGCCAACTGAGCTACTCGTCCAGGGTTGCCTTGTTTTTTTAAAAAGACCATTGATGTGGTTTCCAATGTCCTTAACTCATTGAGCTACTGTTTTTGTTGAAAGGCTAATAGTCTTTAAAAAGTTCATTTTCCCTGGATACATTTCTTTGGCTTCTGCAGTCAAACACAATTTAATTAACTCACCATCAGTAAACAGCTTTCCTCCCTTGGCTAACAAATGAACCACTCAGAAACTATTTTATTTATTTATTTTTTTCTTTGATTTTAGAGAGAGAGGAAGGGAGAGGGAGAGAGAGATAGAAACATCAATGAGAAAGAATATCGATTGGCCACCTCCTGCATGCCCCGCACTGGGGATCAGGCTTAAAACCTGGGCATGTGTCCTGACCGGGAATTGAACTGGCGACCTCTTGGTGCATGGGTCAACGCTCAACCACTGAGCCACACCAGCTGGATGAAACTCTTATTTTTGTGAAGAATTCTGCTATGATAAGATACTCCATTTTAAACTTTTTAATTTTTCTAACCATTGCTTTCCTATGATCTGGGAACATTGCAATGAGTGCTTTCATTTGGTAATGACTATGTATATTGTATTCTTTTAGCTACAGTATCACTGTACAATAAACATAATGCTTTCACATCTAATTTAATAACCAAGTAATCTACACTTAAAAGCATGATATTCCAAATCCACTTTTATTTTCTTGTTTTGACATGATAGGCATGCACTTTTAATTTTTTATAAATACCACAATATGGTGATATGTGTGACACTCAAAATGCTATT